GGTAACAGAATGTGAGGCAACTGACAGTTGGAACAGAGTTCTTTTCAGGTGGGGAGGGGGAGTAGAACTCCTTAGCATCAGAACGTGTTAATTAGTGTATAAGAAACACTAATTATCTGTTGGTCATTTCGAAAAATCCTTTCTTAGCGAGCACCTAGAAGCCAAGAATTTCAAGCTTGTAGGCTTTATGGTTCTGGAGATTTCATGAGTCAGTGGTACTTTACTTTTATATATATTGATTACATCACATTTATTGGTGTACATATTATGACATACATTGGTCAACTGAAGGCGGTGAAGATGCTTAGTAATCCTACCTTCTCTTTTTCCCACAATAACAACCCTGTGAGGTGGATTGGGCTGAGAGAGAATGACAAGCCCAAAGTCACTCAGCTGGCTTTCATGCCTATGGTGGGACCAGAACTCACAGCCTCCTGGTTTCTAGCCTCCTGCCTTCGCCTCCGGACTCTTAATAAAACCTACTAATGCAAAAAACGGCTGAGATAGAGCTCAAAATCATGAGACTATGTGTGGCAAAACCGGGATATGTTGGGTGTATCTCGTTTCAAGTTCACACCCCCGTGCCTAAGGCGTGGTTCCAAACTTGTGAGACTAGCTTTGATATCAACATTTTTCAGCCCTAGAGTTCATGTAGATTATTATCATTATTATAATGGGTTTGTTTGGGATGCTTTGCAACTTTTCATTAATACGGGAAACCGGCTTCACTTCAGAAGCAGATTCAGGGAGGCAGATCCCATTCTTTGCACGTTGATCTCGGACCAGTTGGTTGTTTAGATTTGGCACCGCTCCATGCCCAGACTGTTGATCTACTTTGGACTATGTACCAATAAAGGGAGAATAGTTTGGGCTTGAAATGAGGTGTCCTTGGTGCTCTCTGTACTTGGTTGTTTTCTTGCAGACATTTCATTACTCAAACTGGTAACCTCATCCATGCTCATATTTCTGATGATGATGGTACCAGATCATTTGTATGATTTGGTATCTACCCATATTTTTGGGAGTATAAGACGCTCCGAAGTATAAGACGCACCTAGATTTTGGGGAGGAAAACAAGGGAAAAAATATCTGCCTCTGTCTCTCAGCAATTTGCCTCCTTACAACAAACAATACAGACAATATACACTGTTCGTAGTGTTATATTTCAGACTATACTTGTACAGATGCTGTTAAAATTGATGTGCTTTNACAGCCAATCAATCCACTTACTGAAACAATGCCAGCACTCCACACACCCCCACCAAGAAAGACGGCATCTCCGACCACGCTTTAAGCCAAAAACACCAGCCTGAAGATAAATGTTGTGAAAACTTTACTGCTAGTCTTGACATGCAGTAATGTGCAACCTGATATGCAAACCCAGCACTTGAGTGGCAATCTAGCAAGCTATGTTTTAACCTAGTGTGCAACCTAAATCCAGGCTTGTATGATTAGTTTATAGTTGAATGGACCTCAAAAAAGATACAGCAAATGAAGGTTCATATAATTATCATAGGTGGCTATTTCACACAAATTTGCTTCCCCCACCCCTTCCACATGATTTATCTTTAAAATGAAAGAGTCATCTTAGACTTATTGAAAATATTATGGAAGTGTTCTCTTTCTGTTTTCTTTTCTAGGATTATAAGGTTTCGCTTTCTTCAATTATTTTCCTTTAATAGTGAGGATTTCTTACGTGCAGGGTAAAAGAAGTTAGTAAATTATTAACAAGAAAGCATTTCCTTGCCTTTCAACTCTGCAACTCTGTTAAACTCAGGACACATGCTTGATTGAAAACTTCCCAATCCACGAAACAGCTAGATAAAAGATTCTTATACACAGTAGAAAAAAAGCCAGTAAATCATATCCTTTCCTCTGCCAGCATGAAGGCACATGAAGTTTTAATTCCCATCATGTTTTTTTTTTTTAAATCATACTTCCCATAGTTTTTCTCAGCCATTTTAAAATGTATGGACTTCAACTCCCAGCATTGCTGGCAGGGAAATTCTGGGAGTTGAAGTCCATACATCTTTAAAATGGCTGATGTTGAGAAATACTAGTAAAAATTTTTTTTTCCCTGCGAAGCTGGATAACTCTTGGTTGTTGACGTATAACTGACATTTTCATGCTGAGAATTTCTGGCTGTCAATTCCCACGGTTCTTGGGATTTCAGCTGAGAGAGCATAATGTTGAAACACAAAGTTCCCAATTCAAATGTCACGTTTGCAGTTTTCAAGGCCGTCTCCATCTTCACAGTCACAGCCTTCAGTTGACTGACTATATATATGTGTGTCTGTGTGTGTTAGATTTGTGCTGATAAATAAATAAAGGGAGACTAGTATAGATCTATTTCAAGCTATTTAGCTCTCATCAGCTAGCCATACCCTTACTGGGATTCGAACCTGGGCTGTATTACATATTAGGCAGATGTGTTAACCACTAAGCCACATACATATATCTATACACATACACACACACACGCACACACACAACCTGTGCTTCACAACCAAACTACGTGATAGGGCTATGCAGGAGGAATTCAGTTCACAATCTGTTGGCTCAATAGTGGTCTTTGATTGAAACACGTAAGGGAATATTGCTCCTGCCGCCTTGAGTCCGGAAGCAGTTCCATAGGTGGATGGCGTAGACATCTTGGTGAGGTACCAACGTTTAGTACTGCAAGGAGCCCCAGACGGCTCCTGA